ATTTCAGACTTACTTTAGTAGACATCAAAATGCCAAGTTAGAAAACTGAAGAGCACATTGCAAAGCTTTCTGTTTGCCTGTGGTTCTTGTCTTAATAAGCATTTTGTAACAACCTTTCTTTCCTGTTGTGACACCTAAGTTAGTGTTAGTGCTGGGAGATCTTCACATTCCACATCGATGCAACAGCCTCCCAGCCAAGTTCAAAAAGCTGCTGGTTCCAGGGAAGATCCAACACATCCTCTGCACGGGAAACCTCTGCACCAAGGACACTTATGACTACCTCAAGACCCTGGCTGGGGACGTTCATGTTGTCAGAGGGGACTTTGATGAGGTATTGTCCTCTCTTGATAATAATATTGGCTTTGTTCATCTACATCAAGGGTTATTTGTAATTCAAGTAAAAGTGGGCAAACTGAGGTTGGGTGGTGCTATCAGACCTTAAAGTTCCTTGCATCTTGCCACATTCTCCAGTGTTCATAAAAGCAGCTTTGTAGCAGTAGGGCCACTTATGTTGACTATTTTCATAAGCACTGGCACAGGCTGCCCAGAGAAGCTGGGGCCTGAAGCAGTCTGGTCTAGTAGAAGGTGTCCCTGCCCATGGCAGCATTAAGGTCCCTTCCAACCCAAACCAGTCTGGGATTCTATGATATGCTTCTATGAAAGCTTCTAAGAAGCTTTCCCCCCTCTCTCCTTCGTGTTGCGTAGAATTGTTTTTAAAGCATAAATCTGTACATCTAATCTGTGGTTGGTTTCTTTTTTAGAACCTGAATTATCCTGAACAGAAAGTTGTAACTGTTGGACAGTTCAAAATTGGGCTGATTCATGGCCATCAGGTTATTCCCTGGGGTGACATGGCCAGCCTGGCACTGCTACAAAGGCAATTTGATGTGGACATCCTCATTTCAGGACACACACACAAATTTGAGGCATTTGAACATGAAAACAAGTTCTATATCAATCCGGGATCAGCTACAGGAGCCTATCATGCCTTAGAGAAGTAAGTGAAGTATGGGAATGATCTGTGGGAATAACTAGAAAACTTATTATGAAGATTAATGTTGGCATTCTAAATGTTGGGGAGAGGAAGGGTTGATAGTAGCAGTGAAACACTGCTGAGGTGATTATATACTCACAACTAATATGAATTTTTCCCTTTCTTTCCAGCAACATCATTCCTTCATTTGTGCTGATGGATATCCAAGCTTCCACGGTAGTTACGTATGTCTATCAATTAATTGGAGATGATGTGAAAGTAGAAAGAATCGAGTACAAAAAATCTTAAACATGCTTTGGCTTGTCTGGTATTTTTACCATCTCATTCTGAACTGCAAGTTCCAATACTTGATTGCTAGTTTACAGTCCTACCCTTACTCACTAACAGCTTAAACAATGTAGCTTCTTGGTAATAACTTTGAAACATCATTGTGTTTGCTTTTCTCTCTATGAATTGATTTGTAAAATATTCCATTAAAGTAACTGTTTAAATACTGTTCCTTTATGTTGTAATAAACTCCACTTCATAATAAAACTAAGCTTTATGAACTGGTGTTGGGGAAAAATGCACCAGTTGCAAGTGCTTTTAGAATGCCCCATGCTCTGTTTGGTGACTTCTGAAGGATATTTAATTGTAAAAGGCTTGAACAAAAAGATTGGGGGCTCTGCAGCCATGTTATGTTTGCTTCAGAATCCAGTTGATATTTAATTTTCTCAACCTAGCATTCCCAATAAAATGGATTTATAGATTCTGAAACTATTGCAGTTAATTCATAACTTACAGTAGTAATTTCACTGCAGAAAGTTTAGTCTTTTTATAATTGAAGCGGTTTCAAATACCCCTATGCTTTAATGAATGATGGTCTCATTAAATCTATAAATCATAAAGAGAGGCTTTCCTTTATTTATGGTTCATGTCTGACACTACAGCTATACATGCTTTGCTCCTTGTGCAGAGCTTTTGGATATGTAATTCCATATGACACTCGTGCTACTACGGGAGACTAAGACATGGGTTGTTCAAGACAACCAGACTGTTGGGCTTTCCTTTCTCATGCCTGCAGGGAACTTGAAGTATATTCCCTGTATGTATATACATATATATATATAAACAGATCCCATTTTGCTAACCTTCCAATAAAACCAGAACATGAACTTTTGTCTTCTTGCAGAAGAACATTTAGTGGTGGCCTATTTACTTTGCAGTCATTGGCCTTTGTACTGTGGCTCTTTCCAGTGTGGTATATGTGCAAGAAGCTGTGCCGTATTTGTCACAAAGTTTTAAGTTCTATGGAAAACCAATAGGTTAAAGGATCAGTTAGAACCCTTACTCTGTAATAAGCTGAGTAAATAACTTCTATTCAAAATAAATCTGCTTTACCTTAGTAGACCAGTGTTTCAGCCTAGTATCTCGGGGAACCTCTGGCTAACTGCTGCTTCATGCAGTTAAAACACGTGGCTATTGCTGTGTTCTGCTGCAGACATACAGAAAGAACAGAGTTGCAAAGAAAACCTTGGCATGCATTACTCAAGGAAGGTTAGTGACTGAGTGGAACAATGCCATAATTAAAAAAGGCTTATAGAATACCATAAGAACAAAATGGATACCAGAAGTCAGTTTATTTGTGCTCACTGTAGATATAATTACAATTAGACTACAAAGTATATTTTACATCAAGTACACCATTTACAGTTTTAGAAACAGTTTACCATAATTACACAAGGTTATGTTTGTCTGAATGAAGTCTTACAGAGATGCTGACAGCAGACTTAAACATGGAGAAATACAGAAGGAAATAAACTAATCCTTCCTAAAATGAAAGTGCAGAATATGAACATTATTCTTGAATAGAAACAGGAAATTTTACTGTAAATCGAAACTGTTTCAACAGAAAGAGGATGGAGAAGAAACAGCCTTGAACAGTTAAAAAAATGTGGAAAGCTCAGGATAGCTTTTGATATAAGAGCATTGAGGTTTTAGATTAATGTTCACTGACTGTAGGAACATTCCCAATGCATGGCCCTCCTATTGCCAGCAGAGGGAGAAAAGGGTAAATCAAGACCTTATCAATGACAGTTCAAGTACAGACGTCTCTGGTCCATTCAGATACATCTGGAAGGTAAAAAAACACTATTAATAGGGCTTAGGAAAAGGGGAGAGCATCTAAAACCTGTGAAGGTACCTGAAAGCATAATGCTTCACATGGCACAGATTTGGTCCAAATAAAATGAATTATTTTAATTAAGGGATATTTTATTATATACATTTTACAAAAATAAATCAGCTAACAAGTATTTTTGCTAAAAGTTGAGTGAAATTCTTAGTGTAGAAAAACAAAAGGAGGAAGCACTACGTGAGGTACAGAAGTGGTTTGTTTTACCTTCAGAAGGTCGGATGATGGTACATCTGCCAGAGTGGGGTTTCCACATTTCTCTTGATATTCTTGAATTAGGGCTGTAGCATCATCAATGCTGTAGGAGGCAAAAGTTTATCAATTCATCAACTTAAACACCCTAAAAGGCAAAGACTACATACACTGAAGGGGAACAATAAGATATGACCTCACATTTTTGCAGTCAGATAGCTCCTGTCATTTCCCAGTAGAGGGAAACAAGCCATGACAAGCCTAGCATTTAACCTGTGACTGCTAATAAAATCACTATATACTACAGTTTAAACAATTATTTATTGGTTCCTGTCCCATTCTGACTGCAGAATAGCGGGTAACTCACCATACTGAGTATTTGGGGTGTGAAGTGAAAGGCTGCAGCTGTGTTCAATACCCAAGTGCTGTGAGTCACCACTGATGGATTCCTGATTAAGAACAGCCCTGCAGCAGGCTCAGCAGCAAGCTCCTTCGTTTTATTTAAGTGGAACGCAAGAGGTATTTCTAGCTCTTGAAAACCACTAATTCCTAAGTCTGGAGTACAGGCAGTTCATTTATTTTTCTCAGTGCTTGTATTGCTGAAGCTGTGACTCTTGACACCACCAAGCTGAGATCATCTGAAGGTATAGTCAAGTGATTCAAAACTGCTTTTTCAGTCAGGTTGTCCTGTTTTAACTGCATTTGATCTGATTGCCAGTCCAGGCTCTACAAATTGTTACCTTGCCTTGAATGACACTGTAAAACTCTGGCCTAAGTATGCAAAGTAGTGAGGTGTGACTCTTATTTTATTCATTTAACTTAGCACTACTTCAGAAATTCTTGGAGACTAAATACTAGGGAACCTCAATGACATAAACTGAACTAAACTAAAAGAGATTAAGCTTCTGTTACTATCAATAATGCATCACCTGTTTCACCTTTTATTAACTTACCAGTTCTTCTTTACAAAGTAATCCACCAGTTCTTTCAGTCTGTGAGTACTCATCAGTTGTTGCTTCAACAGTGGAAAATACTTCGTTTTCAAGAATTTTTCATACAGCTTCTCATTTATGATGCTGTCCAAAACCAAAGATCGGATCTGTAGATTTAAGTTTTAGTAACAAAAAACCATTAATATTTTAAACAGAAGAAATTGTACTGTTGAATGAAAAGAGCTCAGAGTTTTCTTGCTGGACTCCCATGGAGGTTACTGTTTTATTTTAGACTTTATGTTTTAGTGCTGAAAATGGCAGATTTTACAAATTAAGAAACTTGCCCTTAGGAAGGCAGCCCAAGACAAAGCAACAGAGTGCAGTTTTGTAAGCTTTTTGGCCTTTTAGAGTAAATTACCATTTACTCTAGGCATAGTGCTGCCAACAATGCTGGCCCGCAAACAGAGCAGCCTGTAACACTGCGTACATACAAGGAGTTTTTCAGTTGCACAACATTAATAAAAATGCAAACATCCATGCAAAAGTTGCTCTGTTTTACAAGTGGGCAGTATGTCAACTAATGCTTGGCAAGATCAGGGCAGAGAGGAAAAAGGGTTCTGAGCACCTTTATCTTCTTGTCTAACAAAAAGCCCCAAAGTCAAAGGCAAACAAAACATTTACTGTATTTACCTGAGAAGCAAACGCTACTACTTCTCCAGTGTTCATGTGCTCATCTATTTGTTGCAGCACAGTTTCTGCGTTACATGTCGATAAGAAGCCCTTGTAAAAGTAAGTTACAAAAAGTTATTAATCTGAGAGATTAAAGTAGAAACTCTTCCTTCAGAGCAAGTATTTGATTTATTCAGGATCAATATTTTGAATTTCTAGATACAAACAGGAAATCATTAAACCAGGTTCTGTGCTCTTTGACTGAGAGATAATACTCATAGCTTTTAACTCTCACAGGGTATTTTGTTGTAGCTAGTATAGATGATTTTGGGTTTTTGACTCGCTGCCAGCAGAACAAATATCTTGCACTAGTGCTGTAACTTGGGAAAATCTTTCTGAGCTTAACTTTAATGACTGGAAGTCTGTGAATTTGAGATGCTTTTAGTAGTGCCAGTGTGCTCCTGACAACTAATAGGAATGGCCTTCACCTGGGAGAACAATAAGCAGACCATAAATGAATGGCAACAAATGAGAGGAAACTCAAGATACATGAATAGTGAGGAAATGGCTTTAAGGCAAAAGGTTTACATTAGAACTTAGAAAGATGTTTGATATGCATTACAAGAAGTCTACGGGGCTTCCAGCTCAGCACTTTTCTGTAGTAGGATTCAGTACTTTTCCTACAGTCTGTTGTCAAACTACCCACCTGGTAGCTCATTACCAGTTACATATGTTATCATCAACTCCACACTACTCTAGCAGGTATATGGCCTAAGGCTTGTGTTTTATTGGGGCTTTTACATGAGCTTTATGTGTGGGATCCCTCCGATTCACAAAGGGCAGAGTCATATGACATGGCTGCTGAGGATGACTTGAAGCTGCTGCTTTTGCCTTAAAAAAAGGAAGTGTTCACATGATCCCTTTTAGAAGGGCAAACTCAGAGCAAAAGCCTTTGTGGATGGGAAATGCTGAGCAGCTGTCAGCAGTGATGTATTTAAACAAGCTGGAATTATATGTTACCATCCTTTACAGTCTCTCTTGAACATAACACTCTTAAATGCATTCCCTTGCACAGATAGAACACAAAACTTATTATTTACCTGAATTTGCTGTTCTCGCTTCTCAGACTGAGGGATCAGCAGCAAGCACCCCAAAGCAAAGGCTGGAAGGTCCAGCTGTGCATATTGTTTAGCTATTCCAATGACATCCAAGTCAGCTAGAACAGGACACCTTCACAAGAAGATTAGGAATGATATATAAAAAGTTGTCAACATATATATGTATGTGATTTTTAAGCCAGATAGGGCAATAGAATTTTACTTCATCTTTTCAGAAACAGCCAAGCTATGGGAGTTGAAGTTTCATGCAGTACAAATGCATGACAATTTTCTATCTCTTTCTCTCCTCCTTCTCTTTCAAACAGCCAAGGCCCTGTTTTGAGGGGAAGTGCTGGCCAACTGCCCAGAGTAGTGCTTTGGTACATATGTATATGCACAGTGGTATAGGTATGTTCTTCAGCTGGATCCTTTTCCAGTGTTTCCTGTCTAACCTTTCAAGTTGGGCCTTCTGAGCTCATCCTTCTCTTGAGCAAGTCAGGACATTGTGGTGAATAAGATGATTTATTGTGTTTTGTTTTTTAAATAGTAAAGGCAGCGCAGAACTGGTTTATGTACAGTGTTTTGGCACATTCATGCCATAGGTTAAGTGCATTTATAGATGTGCAGCTATTAGATTTTTGTCATGTCTTTGTAGGAAAATTAATTCTTTCTCTCATGCACTCCATGTTAGTGTTTTAGGAAATACGCTAGTTTGTGGGCTAAGAAAGAGATTAAGTGGGGTTGGGTCTGAGTCCTTTAAAAATGTCAGGACAGGAACAGCTATCCCTCATGGGGCAGACTGAGCAGATAAATTTGTTTTTAGCAGCCTGTGCTGCTGGTTCCGAGTCCCAGTTCAGAGAGCAAGCAGTTCCCAGCACAGTTAGACCAACCAAGGTACTGAGTTGCAGCATGTGCTACCAACAGCTGGCAGCCAAGCACTGAATTTCTGTATAGGTGTGGCATGATCCTGTGCTTCCCCCACAAGAGGCAAAACATTCTTACTCATGACTAAGGTTCCCTGGTTTTCAGAGTAGCTTTGCATGTTTCAGGGGGACTGTTAGATGAGAAATTGAATGGGCATTCCCCCTCAAATGAATACAAATGTGGACGTCAGTATTTACTTACTTGAGCAGAATCACAAAAGACTCACAACATTCCTCTAACTGTTTAGGACTCGGTGGACATGAAGCTAAGAAATAAAGAAAACATGATAAAGTCTATGTATACATATATATATAAATATCTCCAAGTTACTACATAAGCCTGATAGCCAACATCAACCCTACCTGTAAGAAATGGTGACAGAACCACGCTTCTCCAAGCTCGGCTAAAGTTGGGAATCTGTTGACAACAAAGTATTAAGGTAGTAGCCAAATACAGTTGTAACTAAGTGTACAGGTAAACACAGACATCCTGACCCACTGTGGGTGGAAGAAGCCAGTCAATTTTCTTTTTATCCGGGATGAATTATTCTCATAGTCTGAGATTTAGCCATATTGTGACTGATGGCAACACTACAAAACCCTCCAGGTCAGGGTTTACTGAGGAAACCACAAATGCAAAACGTGCTATTTCAGTGATTAATAACAGTGCTCATCTGCATATTGCATTGTCATAAAAAGAATGATTCACAAAGAATCTTTTCATGCATAACACTTCATGGCACAGATGCTGCCATTCACATATGCACACAGGATGCTAAATCCCTGTTAAGTGAAGAAAAACTTACCTCCCATAATAAATGAATCCCAGTAATTGCTATCAAAACTCTTCTTAAATATTGAATCTTAAAAAAAAAAACAAAACCCAACTTCATTATAAAATCCTACAGTGCTTTTGAAGGTTTGGTGATAATCTACAGAATTGCATAGTACTTGTTTGCAGACTGAAAACTTAAAGTTCCTTTGGGAGGACTAACCGATGCATATGGAAATATGGTTTATAGTTCAGTAACTTATCACAAGCAGTAGCAGCATATGTTGTCTCAGTAAATACCCAAGATTTCTGTTAGTCTTAATACAATTGGTGCTGAAAATTGATGATCCCACCTTCCTTGCTATTAGTACTTAAATCTCATTAGATTACAACTGGCTTCAATAGCTGCTCATAATACAGCCACGTTGCCAGACACATCTGTTACCTCCTTAGGCTGTAGCAACGTTACATAAAGTTTAACGGTGAGAGGTAATTAAGATTCTGAGTGACAAAAATCAGGATTACTATTTAGCAGGGATGATACTTTTGGGCATGTGTACGTACACACATCTATATACATAAACACACAGTTTGTATATACATAATTGCACACAAAAATATGCAAATGTTGCAAATTTATAATAATATGAATAAATATTTCAGTTATCCTAGGACTTGCTCTTGCCATCTGAAAGGTTTTTTTAAAAAAAACAACAAAACAGAACAATTTAAGATAAAAAATTCTCAAGCAGTACTGCTAAAACACACATTCCTCAAAGCTTCATCCATTCAGTATCCAAGAGCCCAAAGTAACCATGTAAATTATCAGTAATTGTTCAGAGTATGTTTGTAATTTATCTGTTTTCCCATTCTTTAGAAATCAGTGGATAAAAAAAGCCTTTTCCTCACCTTGCTGCAGAACTTCATGCTTAAAAATTCCTTACCATATTGAAACTCTGAAGTTTCTGTAGTAGGCCATTCCACAGTTGGGTATCGTATACTTTATATTCTAGACTAAGTTCTGCCACCAATCTGACAGCCTAAAGGAGGGCAAGGACACACTGTATTTTAACGTACATTCATGATCAGCAAACCTGTACTGCTTGTCATCACATCAAAGGTTGGGGTCTTTTTTTGTCCCTCTGAAAGAGGGGAGTATTTGGGAGAGTGCATACTCACTGGTATTTTACATTTTACGCATGTAACAAACAATCACAAAGGATTTAAAAATCATACCGTGGGTTCATGACTGTGATTCTTCCATAGTCCTTTTATCATTCCTTCCTTAGGACTGTTATGAAATGATTCAAAAGTATATGGAATATTCAAGATTTCAAACTCTGCCAGGTAAATGAAGCATTTTAGAAAATACCTGTTAAAAAAGTCCCCCCCCCCAACACCAGGAATTAATGACTGTTACAGAGATTATTATAATTTACATAATCAGGCTCAGGATAATATTGGGAAAGTGTTCTGTTGCTTAAAAGGAAGAAAGGAAAAATAATGTATTTTAAGATTTTAATGAAGTAAAAGACTTTCTGGTAATTGCTTAGGGAAACCTCATTCACCTGCAGACTGGATGGCTTGGATCAGCTCTGAAGATAAACCAGTTACTGTAACTCTTGCAACTCAAATGTCATCCATGCACAGTGACTGCATGCTTACAGAATCCCTTGCACAGCTATGTGGTGTGAGGAACTCTGAAATGCTCAATTTCCATGAAAAAGGCCTAATTCCAGATTATCAGCGTAGAAACTCCATGCTAGGTATTTTCTAAGTTAATTCTACAGATAGTCTCAAAGTAACAACATTTTGCTGTTGGGGTTTTGCTTCCTTATTTTTGCAGAGGAATATGTCTTTGCAGGATGACCAGTTCTGATTTATATGATTATGACGTATATGGGTGGGAGAAAATGCTTCAGTCACTAGAGAAGTCACTGCAATCTATGCAAAATGGAGCAAGATATTTCCCATGTAAATGTCATATTACTTCCAGGTTTACAAATTAGGACTGTGATGCACTTGATTACATTACAGTGAAGTTAAAAGATCTAATTCTGCTCTTCAGAAATACAATTTAAAAGCTCAAAAAACAGATTAGTAAAAAAGAATTCTCCAAATATCATGTATTTTTTTTTCCAAGGGCTGTTAAAGACCAACAAAACGTCATTATTAAGGAACACCTTAAGGAAAATTCTTCTTACTTTACTTTCTCGATGTTTTTTTTGAAGAGTGATGCCACAGTGTTGGTATCTGCCAAGTAGAGCAGACACTTAAGTGCTCTGCTCCTGTGAGCAAATGTCAGCTGAGAATCACCAATTGGCTGAG